ATATAAAATATGAATGTATTATAATCATACTAACTGTCAAATAACCTTCATTCCATTATTAGAATCATGTTGCAAACAATTGGAGATTACTGACTCAATGGACCCAAGATTGGACAAAAAGACATTTACTCAAGTAAGAAGTTACATCATTCAATATTTGAATCAAAGTATTTTGCCAGGTTCATTTGTCTTCTGATGTATGGCACACATACGTTAACTGAGAATTAAATGAAATGAAAGCATAATAACTTATTTTATCAGTCTAAGACGCACACTTTAAAATACTTTAAGTGCTCTGAAATTAGGTTGCATTTTACAATCAAGGGCATCTTAACAATTGCTTTTAACCAGTAGTACTCATAATGTGAAAGTACGAAAAACTTCCACTGTCACTTTCTGATAAGATCAAGAAAAACAGCCTCTTAGATTCAATGAAATATGGTTCTAAAAATAATAATGAACAGGATGGTGCCCAGCTACCATTACTGAACATTTTGATCAAGGACCCAGTAGATGGATCCTGATCAAAAAGAGACAAAATGTGGAACAGAATTTCAAATTCTTATAGCAACCAGACCTACTGGACCCATTGTGACTGGGGAAACCCTTGAGTCTATTGCCCTGAGATAATCCTTAAACCTTGAACTGAAACTATCACATGAAGTCATCTTTAAACTAAACAACAGCTCAACTAGTAAAGAATGTTCACCTTGAGCAGTGCACTCTTTTAAAGAATTATCTATACGAGATCAAACTGACGATAGTAACTCTAAAACACAGAGAAGTTTAGAGGACAGAGTCTAAGTTAATGGTGGTGAAACAATATGGATAGAGACAGCCAGAATGGTGACACAATGCAAAGAATGTAACGAATGTCATTGAACTGTATATGTAGAAAATGTTGAATGGGTGTATGTTTCGTTATGTATATTTTTACCAAAAATAAAGTTAATTAAAAAAATAATAATAATGCGAACCAAAACTTACAAAGCATTTCCTATGGGCCAGGCATTGTCCTAAGTTATTCATATATTAATTCAGATAAATCTTTCAGCAACCCTGTAAAGCAGATTATTATCCTATTTCTACAGATGAGGACACTGAGGTACAGATTGGTTAAGTAACCTGCACAGGGTCTCACAACCAGTGCAGCGGAGGAGATTCGGACTCCAAAGTCAGCATTATACTATATCTGAGAAAGTATTATTCTATTATAGGGAAATAGGCAATTTAATGGTACCAGAATCCTAAGTCTTCCAAAACTTGCTTTTATATTTTTCCGTATCTGTGAATACCACTTTCCTCTATTTCCCTTTGTTTCACTCTGATGAGTCCCATAATCAAGGTAACTTTCACAGTATTCTTAAGTTTATTTTATAGCTAATATCCAGGGTATTTACCTGTAGTTTAGCAGGAAGAATAGCGAGAAATTAATCTACTCCATCTTGGTCCTTAAAACGTAACTTTTAATGGCTATATAATATACCAAGGAGCCCTAGTGGCTCAGTGGTTGAGCGCTTGGCTGCTAACTGAAGGGTCAGTGGTTCGAACTCACCAGCCTCTTTGCAGGAGAAAAATGTGGCAGTCTGCTTCCATAAAGATTTACAGCCTTGGAAACCCTATGGGGCAGTTCTACTCTGTCCTACAGGATTGCTATGAATTGAAATCGACTTGACAGCAGTGTGTTTTTGGTGTATAACATTCCATTATATGGTTGTATTATAATTTATTTAATAATTTATTTATTGTTGGACATTTACTTTCTCATTTTTCAGTATAAAAATGATAAGATTAATACTGCATATAAATTTTTGTTTACAGCTCTAATAATTTCTTTAGAATAGATTCCTAGAAATGGAATTACTAGGTCAAAGAATATGGACATTAGGAGGGTTTTGATATCTATTGTCAAATTGTGCTATAGATTGTACTAATTTATTCTCCCATCAGCAACGTAGGTGAGCTCTCAAAGTATCATGTTCTCACCAACGATGGGCATTACTAAATATAAGAAATCTCTGCAATTTGATGGCCTTTAGTTTTTTTTTAATTTTTATCTTTTTGATTACTAGTGAGGGTAAACATTTTTAAGTAATTTTAGAATTTCTTCTTGTGAATTATCTGTTTATATCCTCTGCCCATCTCAACTATTGATTTGTGTGTGGTTACACAAATATGTATATAAACATGCATGTATATGGGTATGAATATATGAGTACAGATGTGTGTACAGATAGATGGATCTACAGGAATATGTACACGCAGGTATGTGTATGCATGCATGTATACCCATATATGTATAATAAACCACATAGGGAACACAGTTACAGATACTTCTTAGACATAACTAAATACCTCACAAGATTGGTTTTCTGGGTTGAAGGCGTAGGACCATAGTCTCGTGGGGCAACTCAATTAATTGGCATAATATAGTTCATAAAGTCTGTGTTCTACATCTCAATGTGGTGAGTTGTGTCTGGGGTCTTAAAAGCTTGCTAGCAGCTGTCTAAGATACCACTATTGATCTCTACTCATCCGGAACAAAAAAGAAAGAAGGAAACCAAAGACTCAGAGAAAAAAAGTAGTCTACAGGACTAATAGTCTACACGAACCATGGTCTCACCTACCCTGAGACCAGAACTAGATTGTGCCAGGCTACCACTACCGACCATTCTGATCAGGGCCACAACAGATGGATCCTGAAAGAACAGGAGAAAAATGTGGAACAGAACTCAAATTCTTAAAAAATCCACATTTACTGGACTGGTTGAGACTAGAAGATTCCCTAAGACTGTCACCCTGAGATACACTTTAAACCTTAAACTGAAATTATCCCTTGAAGTTACCTTTTAGCTAAATAACAGATTGGCTCATAAAATAAAGAATATCACCCATGAGTAATGAGTGCCTTTAAAAAATGATCTGTATGAGACCAAATGGTAAAAAATTGCTCTAAAGCAAAGATGAGAAGGTAAGGAGGCAGGGAAACTAGAGTACTGGAAATGGTACAACCAGAATGGAATGAATGAGAGTGATGATGCATCGTGAAAACTGTAACCAATATCACTGAATAATATGTATAGAAATTGTTAAATGGAAACTTAATTTGCTGTGTAAATTTTCACCCTAAACACAATAAAATATTGTTTAAAAAAAAATGGGGAGCACTGAAACCTGATCAAAGAAAGATATCAAATATTGTTGTAAATCTAGTTATAGAATAAGTAAAATATCAAGTTATTCTCAAAAGAAGTAATACATAATATAAAATAACTTGGGGAGATTAGAAAAAAAGCAAAATTGTGCTAAATTTTGTCTTAAATGAGAAGAATGACCCATTGCCGTCGAGTCGATTCCAATTCATTGTGACCCTATAGGCCAGAGTAGAACTGCCTCGTAGGGTTTGCAAGGAGTGGCTGGTGGATTCGAACTGCAGACCTTTTGATTAGCAGCTGAGCTCTTAACCACTGTGCGACCAGAGCTTCTAAATGGGAAGGGGGGGAGATTTTTTTAATGCAGTTTCATGCTTGACTCTGACATTTGAAAAACTATTTTTTTAACTATTAAATTGTTAAACTATTTTAAAATATTAAAACATGCTTTTGAAAAAAGTAAACCTAGCCAATATTGATAATATAAATGCAATGTCTGTCTTCCAAATTACTATGCATAGTCCCATCCTGTCTGGAGCAAAGGAGAATGAAGAAAACCAAAGACACAAGTAAAATATTAGTCCAAAGCACTAATGGACCACAAGTACCACAGCCTCCACTAGACTGAGCCCAGAACAACTAGATGTTGCTTGGCTACCACCACCAACCACTCTGACGAGGGTCACAATAGAGGGTCCTCGACAGAGCGAGAGAAAAATGCAGAAAGAAATTCAAATTCACAAAAAGAGATCAGACTTACTGATCTGACAGAGACTGGAGAAACCCCGAGAGTATGGCCCCGGATACTTTTTTAACTCAGAACTGAAGTCACTCCCAAAGTTCACCCTTCAGCCAAAGATTAGACAGGTCTCTAAAACAAACAATAACACATGTGAGGAATGTGCTTCGTAAGTCAGTCATGCATATGAGACTAAATGGGCACACCTGCCCAAAAACAAAGACAAGGCGGCCCAGGAAAACTGGACAAATGGAAACAGGGAATCTGGGGTGAAGAAGGGGAGAGTGTTGACACATCACGGGGTTGGTAACCAATGTCACAAAACAATTTGTGTATTAATTGTATGAAAAACCAATTTGCTCTGTAAACTTTCCCCTAAAGAACAACTAAAAAATAAATAAAAGTAATTACTATGCATAGAAATCATGTAACAATGGACAGAAGCAAAAAGGAAAAAAAAACCCAGAAAGAATAAAATACAATATATTTATACAATTAAAATTTAATAAATATAAAAGAGCTAAACTTCCCTATTAAAAGATAGACTCTTACATTGAATCAGTCCAAACAGTCCAATTATTATACTTCCACGATTTATCAGGATACATCTTGCAATCACTGGGTACATTTGAGTAAGTAGTATTCTTCTCCCTCTTCCCAACTCCAAAAAGCTGTTATTAGATCAACAGTCCATCTTATAAGTGATATTTTTTAATAATTGGATAAAAATGCTGTTCAACTTTATATTTTCACCTAATATAATGTGACAGAAAAAGATGAAAGTAAAAGAATTGTTAAAGGAATATCATGTAAATGAAAATAAGCAAGCAAGCAAACAAAACTGAGCAGATTTCAATATTTAAAATCATTTAATGGAACCAAGAGTATTTTTAATATTTGTAAATGTTAAAATTTATATTTGTGAAGTTCAAAATTAATAAAGATGAAAGCACTCTCAAAGTTTTATGAGTTTATAGATTATCAAAATAGAACATACAAGAGAAAAATTATTGTAAATATAAAGATAAGTGAACAAAAAAATCTACATAGTTGTGGAGACATTACATTTTTTTTGTAACAGCTCTATTGAGGTATAATTCATATATCATATTATTTCCTATGACCTCTGTAACAAATTATCACAAACTTGATGGCTTTAAACCACAAAAATTGATTGTCTTCCAGTTTTGGAGGCCAGAAGTCCAGAATCAGAATCACTGGGCCAAAATCAAGGTGTCAGCA